AAGCTTTGACTTGTAATATTGAAGAATTCTATGGGCAAAATATTGAATGATGCAGAAAGTTTCAAAAGAAGATGGAAAAAATACAGCAACTTTACAAAAAAGAAATGATCAATATTCAATCATTTCAAGAGGTAGCATGTGATCAAGAGCCAATGATACTGAAGGAAGAAATTCAATGTGCACTGAAGGCATTGGCACACAAGACTAGGGGAATTGATGGAATACAAACTGAAATCTTTCAACAAACTGATGTGGCACTAGAAGCACTCACTCATCTATGCCAAGAAATTTGGAAGTCTGTTACCTGGCCAACTGATTGGAAGAGATCCATATTTGTGCCCATTCTAAAGAGAAGTGACCCAATGGAATGTGGAAATCATCAGACAATATCAGTAATATTGCATGTGAATAAAATTTTGCTAAAGATGCTTCAGAATGGCTTCAATAGTACATTGACAGGGAACTGCCAGGGGTTCAAGCTATATTCAGATTAGGCTGTAGAATAAAGGATATCATTGCTGACAGACTTCAGATGGATTTTAGCTGAAAGCAAGAAATACCAGAAATATGTTTACCTATGTCTTACTGACTTTGCAAAGGCTTTCAGCTGTTTGGATCATACATGACAAGCTATGGATAACATTGCAAAGAAGGGGTATTACAGAAAACTGAATTGTGCTCATGAAGAACCTTCACATAGACTAAGAGGCAGTTATTTGAACAGAATAAAGGAACACTAAGTGGTTTAAAATCAGGAAAGGTATATGCCAGGGCTGTATTCTTTTACCGTACTTATTCAGTGTGTATCTTGTGCCACTGAAAAGACAGTTAATGTCCTGATTGGAATGATGGAATCTGATTAACAAAGGGGAAATCAGTTGCTTCTACTAATGAAGGGAGAGAGGATGATGGTGTTGGTAGTTTTGTACTGTGTTCTGACTCATAGCAACCCTGTATAGATAGGGTTTCTGAAGTTACAAATCTTTACGAGAGCAGGGAAACTCATCTTTCTCCCATGTAGCTACTGGTAGATTCAAACTGCTGATCTTATGATGATGAGCAGTTCAAACATGGAACCCACTATATTATCAGAGCTCAGAGTATTCCCTGAGTCACCTTTTAGTATGTTCATGTTCAGTAGTAAAAGTTAATGGAAAGTTACAGCAAAAATAAATAAATAAAGTATCATTAGTACCCAGATCCTTATGGAATAAAAATTTTAGAACACTCTGCTACCTGAAAAATCCAATCAGCTGTGGCTTTGGCCAAAAACAAGGGAATAAGGACACAGATGTGGAAGATGGAAGCCATAGTGATCAATTATGGCTTTCTGACCAAGTACAGAAGTGAAGACTGCAGCAACTGAGCATATTTTTTATTTGCTTTTTATGTATGTGCTTCTTTGTATATGCTAATCATTTATTTCTTATTTCCCTCCCTATTGTTTATATTTACATAAAAGTTTTTGGAGGTTAGTTTTATGATTTATTCCTTAGCAAGCATAATATTTAGTGGAATTATGACTGGATTTGAGGCTAAATTAATATAGTCAGCAATGGATACAATGGTTCTTGGGACTCTATGTCTTTCATTTTGGGGAAAGTGTACAAATATCTTAACTAGCAAAAAGGAACGCTAAGTCTTGTTACAGGAGAAATGCAGTGGTTTTATTGTTTTGTTGGAATGCAATTTTGGATAGAAGAGTTCATGTAGAAATTGATTAGTCAAAGTTGTAGACTGCTTCAATTATTAATGTATTTCCCATCAGCTTCAAATGCATCCACTTTTTTTGCTCTGTGAAAATGGATATGAGTCCTTTAGATGCCTTTCCTTTACCTGGTGGCACTGAAAAACCATCAAAGGAATTATTCTTTGTTGGGAAATGGTTATATTCATACCAAACAAATTAAAACAAAGCATCACTCATGCCTTTGTACTGTAGATGTGGATCCTCAGTTAGATGGTTACAGAAAAACAAAACAAAGCTAAAACACAAACAGAAAAAAAACATACCTGAAAATGCTGGGCAATAGATTTCATACTTCCTGTGCCACTATAGCCATAAACTTTAAAATTCTGAGTTAAAAAATTTCTGTAAAGTAAAAACATAAAAATCATTTTATGAAAAAAATTTCTAAACTCTTATTTTAGAAAGATATTTTGTTAAATTTATTATAAATGGGTAGATACTTTCTGAGTATAATGATTTTGCTCACAATTTCACTTAAAAATCCTAGTCTTGATACCTGTCCTCATTCACTCTACTCTACTTACACTGGACTCTTAGCTGTCTTTCAAAGGTAACAGGTAAGATTTTCCTCAAACTACTTGTTCAATGTTGTTTATTCTCCTGGGATGCTCTTTTCTGTGACTTATTATCACATGAACTTTTCATTTTTGTTTATATATACAAGGGTGACAAAGTATTGCTAAATTTCATACAAATCTTTATTAAACAAACTATATCAAAATGTGAAGCTACTGTTTCTCAATTTATCGTCCATCTAGATCTATACACTTCTGAAAGCAATGTTGTCATCTTTATAAACATTCACCAAATATTTTTTTGTTCTTTGACTTACACCAGTTTTTTATCCTTCAGAAGTCCTGGTGTGGCACTATAGTATAAACAGTGAATAGGTAACCACAGTGTTGGTTGCCACCACTTTTATTCAGGAAACTGAGTCAGAGCTGACTCGCTGGCACTGAACAACAACAACCAGGGACTCAAATCATATTCTTTTAAAAATGTTCTTTGAGTTTTAAAGACAAAGAAGTCTGAAGGGACAAGATCAAGGTTATAGGGTGGATGAGGGAAGGTTTCTCAAATGAAAATTCTTGTAGGACATCCTTCCTATTGTTGAACATGGAGGAGGTGCATTGTGTGACAGAAATATTCCTCAGTGAAACTTTTCTGGGCTTTACATCACCAATGTGTTTTCAATTTCCTAAAACTTCCTCATAATAAGCCCCTGTGATTATGTGATTACCCTGCTTCTTTTCAGAAAATCTATTAAGAGTATTCATTTGAAATCCCCCAAAGCAGTTACTCTTATACTTCTGAACTGGCTTCTCTTGGTTGAATTTAACTGACCCAGCAGAATTCCTTGGAAGTCACTGTTTTAATTCAACCTTGCTCTCTGTATCATATTGGTAAATCTGGCTAATTTCTAATTATCATTTGTTTCGTGAAATTGCATTCATTACCTTCAATTTCACTTGAAAGATGGATAGAAAGATCAGCTGTTTATGCTAGTTGATCTTTGCATAACCCATTGAGATGAATGCTTGCAGAGGCCAAGATACTAACTTAAAATGGAAAATGTTGAGCCATGTGAGATCCTGGCTTCAGAAGCTGTCACAGCAGTGGTAACTCTACAGACTTCTTCCACCAGTTTCTGGACTTCAGCTACAGTTTTTTCATGCTTCAAAGCTGAAGGTCTTCCTGTCTTGGTTTATCTTTGGAGTCTTCTTAAGCTTCATTAAAATGTTTAATTCGTCTAAAACTGTTGGTATATGTGTGGAAGCTTCCCTTAATTTGCTGCAAAACTTCAGTGAGTTGAGAAGATGTCCACTTGAGTTTTTCTAAAAATTTGATATTGACTCTGACCTCAAAATCATTTTTCCCCCCTATGATACAAAAATATATATATATATATTTTCTTGTTGTTGTTGTTGTTGTCAGGTGCCATCGAGTCAGAACCGACTCATAGCGACCCCATGCACAGCAGAAAGAAACAATGTCCGATCCTGGGCCAATCTCACTACCGCTGCCACACTTGAGTCCATCAATGATGCCACCTGGCTGATCCATCTCGTTGGTGGTCTTCCTCTTTTTCTCTGACCCTCCACCCTACCCAGCATGACATCCTTCTCCAGTGATTGTTTCCTCCGGACAATATGTCCAAAGTATGAGAGACGAAGCTTAGCCATCCTGGCCTCCAAGGAGCACTCTGGCTGCACTTCTTCCAAAACAGATCTATTGGTTCTTTTGGCAGTCCATGGCACTTTCAGTATTCTCCTCCAACACCACAAGTCAAAGGCATCAATTCTTCTATGATCTTCCTTATTCACTGTCCAGCTTTCGCATCCATATGAGGCTATTGAAAACACAATGGCCTGGGTCAGGCGCACCCTAGTCCTCAAGCTGACATCTCTGCTCTTCAACACTTTAAAAAGTTCCTGTGCAGCAGATTTGCCCAGTGCAATACATCGTCTGATCTCTTGACTGCTACTTCCGTGAGTGTTGATAGTTGATCCAAGAAGAATGAAGTCCTTGACAACCTCAATCTTTTCTCCATTGATAAAAATGTTGTTTATTGGTCCAGTGGTGAGGATTTTTGTTTTCTTGACATTGAGATGTAATCCATATCGAAGGCTGTGCTCTTTAATCTTCATAAGTAAATGTTTCAAGTCCTCTTCACTTTCAGCGATCAAAGTTGTATCATCTGCATATCACAGGTTGTTAATGAGGACACCTTAATGAAACTAAGACAAGTGTATTACTGAAAGGACTTGTCTGCAGCCATACAATGATCGCAGAAACAGGTTTAAAAATGTTTTGTTTGGAATAAATCTGTATATGTATGAATTGAAAGCTATGTTGCAATACTTTTTCACTTACTCTAATATTGCCTTCTTAATGAGGTCTAGCTTTACAAATTTATTTTAAAAGTGCAACTTTCTCCATAACTGAAGCATATGACTTCCATATTGTATTTTTTACTTTGCTTTCTATTGTTTTGCTAACCATTTTTCATCATTTAACGTTCCTCCTATTTGCTTATTACATCATTGTAAGTCTCATTTCCGAATAATATATTCTCTATGTTTGGTATCTATTTAGCACTTATGCATACCATGCAAAGTCTGGAAAATAGCAAATACTCAATAAATATTTGAATAATATGATGTGAATTCAATATAAGAGTTCGCATTAGAATACTTATTGGTAAACATGAAAAGACAATGTTCTATGAAGAGAAAGGATAAATGTCACAGTTTCATTTTCAAATATGCAAAACATAAACATCTGTGACTATCATGGAATTCTAGAATTACATGAATTAAACCAAGAGGTTTAAAACTCATTCCAAAATCTACTGAACAGAAGAGTTAACCTTTTTGGCATCCTTCTAATAATAAGGAGAAAATAAGGTCCAGTTGGGTGTAGCTAAGAGGGAACACTCTTGAGTTGAAAGTCCTTTAAAGTTATTGAGCTGGTGATCAGCAATCACTGCTTCTTGAAAAAACAGACAAAAGTAAAAAAGAAAGAAAATATACACACATGGCTCAAGGAAAATGTGTCTGGGGGGAATCAAGAGACAAGCAGAACGTTTGATGCTCATGCAGGACTAGAATGGAAATATTAAACATTTGTGATGCATCCAATATATAGGTTTTTCTCTGCAGTAAAGTAATTTGCCAAATTTAATAATGGCTAAGAAGTTGAATTTAGAATCTCTGAAAATCAGAGCAAAACTGTTTTTCACTGTATTGTGACATTGAAAACACTAACTTCCATCAAAGGTAAGTATCATTATGAATATATCATGTTTTCTACTGAAACCTCTGGATATTTAAGGAACAAGAGAAAATTAGAGGTGAATTGACCCTTATCAAATACAATCAATGCTAGATTCTATTAATATTTTGACTGGATTAAGATATTAAAATGCATTCTACCTTCCTAGTGTAGGAAAGGGTTACTATAGAGCTATTGTTAAGGGATCAAGCAATCCCTAAGAAGCAGCATGGTGGCATTTGCTAGATTGTATTGCCACACTTCTTTAAGGACTAGTGAGGCCAAGTGGATTTAAACACTTGATTATTCAGAAAACAAAAGTAAAGATCAGTATTATTTCAGTTTATTGAACCTCTGTTTCTACAGGACAATAAACAACTTGAGAAGCTAAGTGAAATATAATATAAGAGTTAGGTGACTTTGTTATGGAGGAAACAACTCTAAACTGCAGTTAAAAAGCAACAATAATAAAGCATGTGTATAGGGCAGGGTAAAAAGCACCATGTCTCTCTGAAGACAGGGAGGCAAATAAGTAAATGCCTCATCCTACAATATAGGGAACTTTCTGCAAGAGATAGATATGGATGATAAATGGACTTGTGACAAATACTCAAGAACTGCCTTTATGGTTATGTACCAATATCACAGGATAGTCTACCAAGACTTGAGTTAGTCTGTGATGGGATCTTGCCTCTGTGGCCTATGTGAAGAAGAAATACAAGGTTAAGTGTACCATGGAAGACCTAGTCCCCTGCAACTTTACCACTTTTGCCACACATTTCTTTGATTCAATAAATATTGAAAAATTAACTATTTGGCATGATAATCAACAAAATAATAAGTCTAAAAAACAAGGTTAAAAAAATAGAATTGATAAAGAAAAGTAAAAACAGATTATTATTTTTTAATTACAGGAATCATAATCTTAAAATATGAAATAAAGATTCTAAAATGGAAATAAGCAATATACAGTACTAAGAACTAAATATTTAAGAAATTGAGCTCATTTACTTAATGGGTATATATAGAACACTGGAATGAGGAAGGACAAAATACACATTATCTTTACATTCATGAGAACCATGCGTTGTTTTAACTAAATGTCCATAATTAATGGGGAAAATACTTCTCACTTTAGCAAAGGGAATCAAAATATAGAAAGGGATAAGGGTGGAATAAATGTTATGTTATTGGTTTAAATTTGGTGTACCAGCAAGAAGATGTAATCATAAATACATAGATAAAGACAAGTATATATTTAAATATGTATTTAGGTATATAATATAAACATGTGCACAAAAACATCCACACTTGCAGATAATACCCACTTGACCAGGCTTTCAATAGCTAGATGATCAGAGCTCAACTAGAAGAAGAAAGAAGAGGGAAAAAAGAGTAATCTGATAAAATTTGATGTACTTGACTTAAATTTATGGCTGCAGTAGCTCAAAGATGGAACAAATCTTTACAGCAATGATCATTCTCAACCCCTTCATACATAGGGTAGACAGGAATGGGCAGCTTGGACATTGGCTACCCAAAATGGGTGGGTGGGTGGGGGTGGGACTACAAATGCAACAAGTGACTGGCTTACAAGCTTTCATGAGGGAGCCTAGGTCCAGAGGGCATGGAGGACATTACCATCTCCACTGAGTCGTATTCAATTTGTCTGGGAGGCCCTGATGAAAGGCTATGGGGATAGGACTCTTGTGGTACAATAGTGAATAATTGCTATCAGGACAGACTCTGAGGGTTGGAAATGTAAAGGTAGACATTTTGTAGCAAAAGAAGGTGAGTGGTTGACTTTGAAATCCAGGAGAGGAGTTTCCTGTCACTACCAAGGGAGACGAGTAGAATGCACGACCCTACCAGAGAAGAAATAGTGATGCCAGAGATGGAGTTGGAGATGATGCTTTGGAGAGATGGATTGGCTGTGGACTCTAGACCCAGAGAGGGAGAGGGACTTTATGCTGATGACCGATGGGCACGCTTGCTGGGTTATACCCTTTGGTTGTTTGATGATGCATGGAAGAGATTGTAATCATAGCAATAAAATGGTATTAGATACAATAAATGTAAAGCTACTCTTCTCTCATGTAAACTATCACATGATTCACAAACATTTAAAACGAAACAAAAAGGAAAAATAAAAACAAAACAAAAACAAAAAACAACATCAGAACATGGCAAGCTCATATTTCGGAGAGCTAGGATGGTTCTGTAGGAGCCACAGTGGCACAAACACTAAGTGCTTGGTGATATCCAAAAGGTGGGTAATTCAAACCTGTCCAGTGAGTCCATGGGAAAAAATACTTGTCAATCTGTTCCAGTAAAGATTACAGCTTAGGGAACCCAATGGGGCAGTTCTATGGTGTCCTGTAGGGTGGTTGTGAGCTATTTGTTTGTTTTTTAAAGTTGACACCAAAAATATGTAAAAATGAAAAGCGGTAACAAAATCCAGGGCATGTTTAAAAGAGAAAATATGGAAGGCCTTTATCTTTAATCTACAAAATTTCTCGCAACTGGAACAATAAATAATATTATGATAAATGGAGAAAAGAATGAATTGCCAAGATTTCATTTTATTTGAATCCATAATTAATACTCATAGAAGCAACAGCCAAGAAATCAAATGACAGTATTGCATTAGGCTAATCTGCTGCAAAAAAAAAAAAACACTCTTGTTAGTGCTCTAAAACAAACATATCACTTTAAGGACTAAGTTGGACCTGACTCAAACTATGATATTTTTTGTATTTTCAATCTCATCAGATGCATGTGAAAGATGTACAGTTAAATAAGGAAAATGAGAAAAAAATTTATGTATTTGAATTATGGTGTTGGAGAAGAATATTGAACATACTCTGGACTGCCAAAATAATAAACAGATCTGTTTTGGAAGTGTGCCAAGATTCTTGGAAGAAACAATCATGAGACTTTTCTTGTTCTTTGGACATGTTGTCAGGAAGGACCATTCCCTGGAGAAGGACATTATACTTGGTAAACTGGGAAGTCATTAAAAAAAAAAAAAAGGCCCACAATGAAATGGATTGATACAAGGGCAACAACTATGAGCTCAAACATAACAATTGTGGGGAAGGCACAGGACTGGGTAGTGTTTTGTTCTGTTGTACATAGGATTGCTATGAGTCAGAATCAATTCAATTGACACCTAATGACAACAACAGTTAAGATTTATTATAAAGGGAGAAATAAATCATTTATTTCATGAAAGAGTGCTCAAATAGATATACCCATAATAAATGTATAGATCTGGCAGTCCTCGCACTGTAAATTTATACAAAGAGAAGATTTAATAAAGTTGTTGAGACATTTGATAAGAAAAACGAATTACTGCCTCAAAGCACAATCAAAAGCTAATTTCAGACAGAATAAATATTGATAAGTAATACTAATGATTTAATATGACTTTATCTGAAATCAGGAGTCTTGGTGTGGTATTGTAAGTTAATGTGCTGAACTACAAAGTCAGTTTGAACCACAAGGTCTGTGGTTCAAGCTCACCAACCAGTCCTCAGAAAAACCCTAAGCAGGGTCACTGTGGGTTGGAACCAACTTGACAGCACTTAACAACAACAACAATAACAATCTGAAATCAGATTCAGAAGAGGATGGGGAAAGAGAGATATCATTGCTAATGTCAGTTGGGTCTTGACTGAAAACAGAGAATACAAGAAAGATGCTTACTTTTGCTTTATTGACTATGCAAAGGCTTTTGATTGTGTGGATCATGACAATCTATGGACAATCTTTTGAAGAACACGTAATTGTGCTCATGAGTAACCTGTATATAGACCAAGAGGCTGTCATTAGAACAGAACAGTGTGATACTGATTGGTTTAAAATCAGGAAAGGAGTGTGCCAGGGTTGCATTCTTTCACCATACTTATTCAATATGCATGCTGTACAAATAATCTGAGAAACAGGATTATATGAGGAATGTGGTATCAGGTTGGGAGGAAGACTCACGACATCCAGTCATGCAATTCATGCACTCTTGCTTGCTGAAAGCCAAGAGGACTTAAAATACTGATGAAGATCAAAGACCACCGACTTCTGTATGGATTTCACCTCATGGTAAATAAAACAAAAATCTTCACAACTGGATCAATAAATATCATCATGATAAATGGGGAAAAGACTGAAGTTGTCAAAGACCTCATTTTGCTTGGATGTACAATCAACACTGACGCATTATTTCTATCACTTGGCATTCCAAAACGGTGGCTGATTGAGGGTCTAACAGGACTTTCCTTGTGTATTTCTTGTAAAATAACATTTTTGTTTCTTTCAGAAAGAGGTATTTGAGTCAGATTTTGATGCCCTCCTACGCCACACATCTTATATGTAAACATTTGGTAAAACTAGTAATATATATTTTTAAAATTGCAGCTATAAATTCCAGTAATGATGCATTTATTATCTATTTATTGATTTAGAAAATTCACTTACAGGGTTAGTTCCTTCTACTTGTTAATACTATTTTAGAAATCCATTCTTATCATTTAAAAAGGTACACTGCAATATTTATTTTCTATATTTTTTAGTAAAGTGTGCTTATTTTCCCCAAATACTATCAGCTGAGATATAATTGTGTCTGGCTAGTTACAATTACATTCTAGAGCCATCCTATATCACAACAGGATATGTAAACTAGTTCTCAATAATTTGCCTCCCAAGTGTCTACTATGATATTTCAAGTTGAAGATAGTGAACCCATGCTGTTGTTTTTAAGTGCCATCGACTTGGTTCTGACCGTTAGCAACCATATATAGGGTTTCTGAGGAGTAGCTGGTGAGTTTGAGTCACCGACCTTGTGATTCAAACGCATCTTGTGGTCAAGTGCTTTTCCTACAATGTCATATCAAGACTTTGTAATGGAACTATAAAACAAGTCATGTTTATGTTTAAGAAAGAAAGAAAAAGTATCAAAATTCATCCTTCATGAAACAAGGATAGTCTAGAACAAAAGTGGTGACACCAGAAAGGAAAAAGATAAGAACATACAGATACTATGACTTCGAGTTCTAGACATTCACTATGACTTTAATTTAGTTTGATTAAAAACATTTAGTATGTTTTTATTAAAAGTAGAAAAACAGAAGCACTTTTAAATATAAAACAATTTTATTCTGAATAATTGCAAACACTTATAATTATAAGTGGAACAAAGAAATATGATAAAACAATGTAGATCACCTACTTTTGCGTCAGGTTCACAATGTATGCTTTCTCATCTATTACAATCTTGTAGGCCACCTAGAAGGAAATGTTTTAAAAAGTCAAAGAATGAGAGTGTTAGAAAGGAAAAAAAAACAACAAAAAAAACCCCCAACACTTTGCATTAATAACAATTGAATTTTAAAACCTACTATTATATAAGAAGGGTAAATAAAACGAAAACAAAACAAAATGGTTGCTACTTGAGTTCCAGTTCATGTAATGGTTTAGTCCAAACAAAACACATTTGAGCATGTCACTGCAATTAATGGGTGGTTGCAGACAAATTCTCTCAGCAATGCACTTGTCTTATTTTCCTTAGGGTGACTTCAAAAACCAAAAATAAGAATGTTCCAATCTAAACAGTGGCTTCTAAGGGCTCTATTGGGTTAGTTAAATTCAAGACAGAGAAATTAGATAAAAAGTGGTGGTGATTGGAGTTATTTCCATAGGACTATTTTGGTAAATTTTCTCAAAGGACACAAGATGATCACAGAACTCTATTAGGAAGAAGCTTTAAGAAAACTTAAAACTGCATTCTTGAGACAAAGGCCAGGAAATTTCTTGAGGATTTTTTTTTTTTTTTTTTCCATTTCCTTCATGACAGGGCATCTGCTCATTCTTACTGTCCTGTGAGAATTTCAGGGGGAACTTTAATTCATCTATCTTAAGCCCTGATCATGTTGCTTCAGACATTATTTTGTTCTCAAATTCAAGAACAGTCCAAAGAAACACAGTTTGAGTCCCTTAAGGAAGACAAAATTGTGATTTTGATACGGTGTAAATTAAAGGGGACAGAATCCAACAATGAAGGGTTACTGTTGTTAAGTGCCATGGAGTTGGTTCTGATTCACAGCAACCCTACACAGGGTTTCTGAGGAGTGACTGGTGGGTTTTAAAGGTTAGAGAGGTGGAAATACACTCTTCAGAGGCATATAGACATGTTACTTTTGTTGTTAAGTGCCATAGAGTCGGTTCTGACTCATAGAGGGTCTTTATAGGGCTTCTGAGGCTGTAAATATTTGTGGGAGCAAAAAGCTGCATCTTTCTGAGCGTCTGGTGGGTTTGAACTAGCAGCCGTATGGTTCTCAGTACAGTGATTATCCTACAAAGTCACGGTGTTCCCATGTACACCTAGATGGACAATTTATCACAGCAATATACAAGCCACCACAGTAGGACAAACTGACAGACAAGTGGTGACATTTTGATATTTTTGTTTAGTATATATTTGCATTATTTTGTAGCAGTATTTTTGACTTAACATCATCTACAAAAAGTTTAATTCAATATAAACAATTTTGTTATTGTGGTTAAGTGCCCTCAAGTAAGTTCCAACTCATAGTGATATGCATAGGGTTTCTGAGAGTGGCTGGTGAGTTTGAACTTACAACTTTGCAGTTCAAATTGACCTTTAGGTGGAGTGCTTACCCTATGGGGTGCCACACCAAGACTCCATAGGTAATTATACACCAAAGTAATTTTATCTTAAAATATGGGCTTTCATAATAAAATAATGCTAGAAAATATCATTTGTGTCATCTTCTACTTGTTAATTCTTACATTTATTTTATTAAAATGGAATCCGTAAAATTATGATTTTTTTCATGCAAGTAATTACACAAATTGAATAAAGATAGAAGTCAGTACAAAACTTATGTTTAAAATGGATATGTGGCTTTTGTTAAGTATCATTGAGTTGTTTCTGAGCCATAGTGACCCAGTGTAGGGTTTCCAAGGAGCTTGAATTACCTACCTTGTGGTTCAAACCACTTTGCAGTTCAGTGCATAAACTGACAGCGACACACCAGAAATTCATTGCTGAATAGAAAATGTACTTAAGAATTGTTGTTAAGTGCCGTGGAGTCGTTTCTGACTCATAGCGACCCTGTACAGGGTTTCAGAGGCTGTAAATCTTTATGGGAGCAGAAAGCCTCATCTTTCTCCTGCGGAACAGCTGGTAGTTTCAAACTGTTGACCTTTCGGTTCGCAGCCTGATTCGTAACCACTACGTTACCAGAGCTCCTTAAGAATTAGAAGCATATAATATATATTTGTCACCATTTGTCTGTCAGTTTTCCATACTGTGGTGGCTGTGATGCTGAAATTATGCCACCAGTATTTCAAATCTAGCAGGGTCACCCAGGATACTCAGATGTCAGCAGAGCTTCTAGGCTAAGCCAGACTAGAAAGAAGGAATAGACAGTCCATTTATGAAAAATAAGCCACTGAAACCTTGTGACTATCAGCAGAACATTGTCTGATATGTTGCTGTTGTTAAGTACTATGTAGTCGGTTCTGACTCATAGTGACCCTGCACAGGGTTTCCAAGGCTGTAAATCTTTACGGGAGCAGAATGCCTCATCTTTCTCCCACAGAACCATTGGTAGTTTCAAACTGCTGACCTTTATGTTTGCAGACCAATTTGTAACCACTACGCTACCAGAGCTCCTTATTGTCTGATATGAGTACCAGAAAATGAGTCCCTTATGTTGGAAGGCTCAAAATACAGCTAGAGAAGAGCTGCCCTTCTCAAAGTAGAGATGACCTTAATGACATGGAAGGAGCCAATATTTTAAGATCTTCATTTGCTGATCTGGCAAGAAACAATTACAAATATCCATTAATAATAGAAATGAGGAATGTATGAAGTATGAGTATAAGAAAATTGGAAATACTAAAAAATGAAATGGAACAATTAATGATCAATAGCCTAGACAGTAGTGAACTGACATGGACAGGTATTGGTTATTCTGAATTGGACAGTCATATGGTTTACTAGCCTGAGAATATAAATTTGAGAGGAATGGTATAACATATTCATTGTCTAAAAGAACATTTCAAGATCTATACTGAGGTACAATGCAGTCTGAGATAGAATAATATTCAGATGCCTTAAAGGAAGACTAGTTAATACCATTTTTATTCAAATTTACATATCAACCACTAAAGCCATGATGAAGAAACTGAAGAATTCTACTTTCTTCTTAAGCCTGAAATTGATCAAACATGCAATCAAGATGTAGTGATGATTACTGGTAATTGGAATGCTAACATTGGAAATAAAAAGCAATGAACAGTCATTTAAGAATATGGCCTTGGTGATAGACAAGATGCTGGAGATCACATGCCAAAAATTTGCAAGATCAAAACTTATTCACTGAAAAAACCATTTTTCAAAAGCATGAATAACAGCTTTACAATTGGAACTTGTCAAATGGACCCCAAAAGAGTCAATTCAACTACATCTCTGGAAAAAGGTAATAGAGAAGCTCAATACTATTAGCCTAGACAATGCCCTGTTGTGGTGTGTTATAGGATAAACATTGCACCTCAACGTCAGTTTGAGCTGCAAGGTTGGTGGTTCAAGCTCACTAGCCACTTCTTGGAAACCCTACAGAGTTTGGCACCAACTTGACAGCACTTAACAGCAACAACAACAAACAATGCCACGGGACTACTGTGAAATAAACCATCAATTGTCCGCATGAACATTCAGGTTGAAGCTGAAGAAAATTTAAGCAAATTCATGAGAGCCCAAATATGAAATTGAGTCTATCCTATCTGCATCCCAGGAACAGATTTGAAAGACTGAACACAAAGACCAAATGAGTTATGGAGTGACATCAAGAACATCATATGTAAAGAAAGTTGTTGCTGTTGTTAAATGCTAGAGGGTCATTAAAAAGAAGAGAAAGAAAACATCAAAATGGCTGTCAGAAGAGACTGAATCTTGTTCTTGAATGCAGAGAAGTTAAAGAAACAAGAAGAAATGATGAAGTAGAAAAAGCTGAACAGGAAATTTCAAAGGGCAGCTCGGGAAGACGAGTCATTATAATGTATAGTATTATAATGAAATGTGTCAAGACCTGGAGTTAGACAGCCAAAAGGGAAGAACATGCTTAGAATTTCTCAAGCTGAAAGAACTAAACATTTAAGCTTGAAGTTGCAACATTGAAGGACTCTATGATCAAAATACTGAATGCTACAGAAAACATCATAAGAAGATGAAAGGAAGCCATCAAGGTAAGCAATTAAGTCTTTTCAGGACAAACCTACCTCTAAGACTGAAACTTAAAGGGAATACATGAGCAGGCATGTAAGCTTGCTAGCGACCACATTGTTCTACTGATGAGTGGAAGAGCAGAAAAGGCAGCGATGAAGAAATGGGCTGAGTTCAACCATATTCCATAGACTCCCGTTGACCTGGAGATCAGAGAGATAAGAGGAAGGGCTGGTTGGACCAAAGTGTGGTGAGACCTGGGGACACCTGAGCCCATGGACAAGGACATAGCTACAGAGGACTAGAGCTGACAGTGAAGCATCCAGTGGATATTAAATGAGGGGAGATGCACAAGAACACCCAAATTTACAGACAGTACCCATTTGACCTAGCCTTGATGGCTTGATTATCAGAACTTGACTCGAGGATGATTTACAAAAAAGAAAAAATATATAAATATTTTTAAACATGAGGGTAAATTGCTATAATTTGATGAACTTGACCTATATTCATGGATATAGTAGTTCAAAATACCAACAGAGAGGGAAGAAGTCTTCACATCAAGTATCAATTCTATCCCCTCTGTATACAGGGTAGATAGGGAAGGGTAACTTAGACATTGGCTACATAAAATGAGGGGGCATTAAGGCATGAAGTGACTGGCTTACAAGTTTCCAAGAGGGAGTTTCGTTTCAGAGTATGTGTGGGAAAACAGAGTCTCCACTGAATAGTTTTCATCTTGTCTAGATGGGGATGGTGAAAGGAGATGGGGATAAGATTTTTATGATTCACTAGTGAGTAATTGTTATCACGACTAATTGAGACTGTCACAATCATAAAGGTAGAAATTTTGTAACAACAATGGGGAAGTAGTTAATCTTACATTCCAGGAACAGAGAACCCTAGAACCATAAATGGAGAAGAGCATAAGTAGAATGTGGGACCCTATCCAGAGAAACAGTGACACCAGAGATAGAGGCAGAGATGAGGACATGGAGACAGGGAGCAGCTGAGAACTCTAGATTCATTGAAGAAAAGAGACTGAGGGCTGGCGGTCAAGAGGCAGACCTGAAGAATGTGCCCTTTGGTGGTTTAAATTATTTTATATGCCTGAGTGTTTAAAATAAATAAATAAAAGAGCCAAAATGAATAAAGAGGAATGCTCTTGACTGATGGTGTATGGATGTGTGTGTTAATAATCATTGCAATGAAACAAAGTATATGATTTCTTGAATGTAAAACTGATGATCTATTTGCCCTGTGAACTTTCACTCAAATCATTAAAAAAAAAAAAAAGAAGAAGAAGAAGATGGAAGGAATATACAGTCTCATTTTACCAAAAGGACATTCATTGATGTCTAAGCGTTTGAAGAAGTAGCATATGATAAAGAACCAGTGGCACTAAAACAAGTCCGGAAAACACTGAAGACATTGGACAAAAACAAGGGCCCAGGAATTTATGGAATACCAACTGAAATTTCTCAACATACTGAGGCAGCAATGGAAGCACTCACTTGTCTATGCCAAGAAAATTGGAAGATAGCTACACTGGCCAATTGAGAGGAAAAAGTCTATATTTATGCCCTTTCCAAAGTAAGCTGAACCAATGAACAGAAGAATGCAGAAGTTATTGAAAAATATCGTTAATATCACAGGCAAGTAAAATTTTGCTAAAGATAAATTAAAGGCAGTTGCAGCAGAACATTTACAGTGAGCTGCCATAAATTCAAGTGAGATTCATAACAGGACTTAGAATGAAGGGTATCATTGCTGATGTCAGATGGATATTGACTGAAAGCAAAGAATATTTGATAGGTATTTATTTGCATTTCAGTGAACATGCAAAACTATTCAACTGTGTGGATCATTGTATCCATAACTATTGATAACATTGCAAAGAGTAGTAATAACAGAGCACTTCATTTGTTCATGGGAAACCAGTACAAAATAAGAGTATACAGAATAGTTTAAAATTAAGACGTGCTCAGCATTGTATCCTTTCACCATACTTAAAGAGTTTGTACGCTGAACAGATAATCTCATAAATTGGACTATGTGAAAAAGAACATAGCATCATGATTATTGTTGTTAACTGCCATGGAGTCGGTTCTGACCCATAGCAACATTGTATAGGGTTTCTGAGGAGCAGCTGGTGAGCTTGAACTGCTGACCTTGTGGTTCAAACCAATTTTTCAGTCCTGTGCATGAACCCACAGCGCCACACCAAAAGAACCTGCAAAATGCACACAACCTTGCTTGCTAAAAATGAAGAGGACTTAAGTACTTGCTGATGGGTTACACCTCAATGTAAAGAAAATAAAAATCCTCACAATGTTACCAAAAAACAGCATCATAATAAATAACTTGAGAAAAGATTACAGTTGTCAAGGATTTAATTTTTCTGGACACATAATTAATTCTCATGGAAGTAACAGTCTTGAGATCAAGTGATGTGTTATATTGGGCAAAATCTAGTGCAAAAAACTTTGAGATCTAAAGGGGACCTGCCGGAAGCCATGGTGTTTTCAATAGTCTCATATGCATGTGAACACTGAACAAAGACAGGAGAAGAACTGAATTATGGTGAAGAAATTTGAAATTATGATGGCCTGCCAGAAGCAACAAATGTGTATTAGAAGAAGAACAACCAGAATTTTCCTAAGAAGTTAGGTAGGGAGCCCTGATCTCATGTACTTTGGGTATGTTATCAGGAAGGACCAGTCCTTAGAGAAGGACATCATACTGATGACAGGGTCACTTTTAAAGAGGAAGACCCTCAATGAGATGGCCAGAGAACACTTTACACTGTTGTATATAGGGTCAATATAAATTGGAACTGACTTGATGGCAAGTTAGAACAATACTATGTATATAAATATTTATAGAATTTATAAAATGTGTCTGTTCTATATGTGGTTAAAATGCTCACTGATATTTTATTAATACAAAGAAAAATAAATTTAGGAAGATATCTAATAAATGAGCAATGTAATCTCTATTAATCAGTTTGTAGACTCACGATATCTCTATATTTTTGGGGTTTCAATTCATGAATTTGGAATATACCTACATTATTTTAATCTTTAATTTCTCTCATTCTCCTTTGTTTTCTTTAGTGAGAAACTGCTGTTTCTCTTTGCCAGCTTTATTAAATAATTTATTTTTATTTAATGCAAAATGTAGCTTCAAATTTTGCTTTTGTTTATTGACTTGTCAATTGATTTTTTTCATTTTGATCTTATTTCCATTAAATTTTCTGAATGCTTCCAATTCTAATTTTCTCTAAATTCTTTTGGATTTTATTCTGTTTACAACATTTCATCTGGTAATAATAATAGCTTTATTCTCTATCAGCTGTTGTGTATTTTTGATGTTTCCTGACTAGTACTCCCAGGATAATAATAAATGAAATAATAATGAGCATTCTTATATTTTTCTTGATCTCAATAGGAAAGCTTTTAATATTTCTACTTTACATTCTCCAAAAGCAGTCAAACTTCTCTATTATCTACCACTGATTGTTATTTTCCATCCTCATATGTATCATACGTGTAAACATGAAAGGAAATTATATAATGCTCATGCCATCAAATACATATAAAATATTATAAGCATTTTCAAATAATTTTAAGCACTCTGTGTATCCCTTTCAATAATATTTATCCCCTTTCTTCCACCCTGGCTAACCAGTATCTTCAATTTCGTGGAGTCGTGGTATGGCTCAGCTGACTAGTGCGCTGGTTTGAATCACCAGCTGCTCCTCAGAAACCCTATAAAGGGTCACTATGAGTCAGAACGGACTCAACGGCAATTAACAACAACAACAACATACTTACATTAAAAATGATAATATTGAAGTTGGTTAAAGCACTCAGTTGTTAACAAGAAGGTCAGCGGTTCCAACCCACCAGCCACTCCATGGGAAGAAAATGTTGCAGTTTGCCTAAATAAAGATGTACAGTTTTGACAAGCCTATGAGGTTGTTCTGCTTTATTCCACAGGTTGATATGAATTGGAATAGATTTAAAGACAGTAGGTTTGGTTGGATTTTTAATCTTTGCATTAGAGACACATGTGAATACTAGCTAAGAAAATTATTTTATTCAAATCAGAACACTACTGATCAATAAAAATATTAAGGTGTGATATTTCAATGTTGCTTGTTTAGAAATTATTATAGAACTTAGTAAGACAGACGTTAAGGTTTCTGATTTAGAAAAACCTATGGCCTTAATACCAGAATTGAACAAAGATATTGTGAAAGGGCAGCTTTAAGTATTAATTATAATAAAGATGTGGAAAAACATTAAGATAACATATTATTGTCCTGGTGTGGGGCTGTAGGATAAGCACTGGGTCAGGTGGTCAGTTTCAGTTGCAAGTTCCGCAGTTTAAACTCACCAGCTGTCAAAACTTACTTGATGGCACTTGACAACAGCAACAACAAATGAAATAAAATGACTATTTGGTCATTTGTGTACATGGGTGAATGGGAAGATAATCTCTACATGGATCAAGCCAGTAATTGTTGAAGGACATCCAAGAAAGAAGCAGATTTGGGGGCTTTGGTATCTGACCTCAATGTACCATATTTCTAAGAAATAGTGGTTTTCTTGATTAATTCTCAAATGTGCTTTTCCTAGTTATATATAAAATTTAGCAAGTGTGCATGAATGAAAATTTCAAGGTAGTTTTCTTAAGAATAACATGCTCAAATGATTTAAAATTATATATATATATATATAAAATTAGTGCTTAATTACTTGTGATTCAACTTCCCCGCTTATTTTTGACTGTACTTTCTCTGGAACTGTAATTTGTACACGCAGTTTTTCAGAATCTGCAAATTGCAAAATATTTTATTAAAGCAAAACCCATCACTTAATAGCTTTTTCCTCTATTCCCCCACCTAAATATAAAGTCTGTATTCTATATACAAGCTCTCACTTTTAGCATCTTTCAAACTCACTCAGTTCCACACTTCTTTCTAAAAATACAAGACTTTTAAAGATAAATAGAAATATTGCTTGTCGGCAGGTTCTAGTAGCGTTGGGGTAATAAACCCAGGCTCCACTGTACAAATAAACTCTGGGAGCTTTAAATATAGAGTCTAGAAGTTGACTCTCAACTTTCTACAACATTGTAAATGCAAAGCATTATCTTAAACATCATACTTTAGGATTTCACATGAGTCAAAGGAGTGCCCAGGTCAAGTGGGGGAGTCCCCTCCCTTATTCCAATATGAATTTGGCGCTTAGTCCTGGGAGTTGGCTTTGATTTGAAGGTTAAGAGCTGACGTTTCTCCAACAAAAAAAGGAAGGCTTTTCTGCTTACCGTATTCTGTACGGAGCCCACTGAGCCCAAAGAGCAGAAGTAAGAGGCACTGCATGGTTTTACCTCCTGGTTTCCTCTTGAATAATGACAGTTGCCTTAACTAGAGAACAGTTGGAGGCGCTCGCGAGGAGGTCTGACAGCACACTTAGCAGGAACGGGAAACTGAAAACAGCTGAGTGCTGACAGGGTGGGTGGTGTGAACTGAGGGGACTTGCACTTGATATGCTGTTTATCTGACCCAAAATAAAATTTAAAAAAGAACAAGAACCGCCTCCAAAAGGCGGCAGGTAATGAAGGAGGAAGATTCGTATACGTGCTTTGTTATTTTTAAAGTATAATATACACTGTTAGGTGCAGTCGAGTCCGTTACGACTCATAGTGACCGTGTATAGGGTTTCCTAGGAGCCTAGTGAGTTTGAACTGCTGACCTTGTGGCTCAAACTGACCTTGGTCCAGTGCTTTTCCTACAGCGCCACACCTGGACTCCATAATATACATACATAGTGCAAATTGTAGGTGTTGTTGTGGTTGTTAGGTGCCATCGAGTCGGTACCGACTCATAGCGACCCTATGTACAACAGAACGAAACAGTGCCCGATCCTGGGCCAACCTCAGAATCGCTGGCACGTTTGAGTCCATTGATTTTTCCACTTTGCCAATTCATCTCACTGGTTGTCTTCCTCTTTTTCTCTGACTCTCCATCTTACCAAACATGCTATCCTTCTCCAGCGACTGGTCTAGAGCTCAATATTTAAGTCAAAAGACGTATGTAATCAGCACCCAGATTAAAAAATAAAAAATGGAACCTCGAAACACCCATATAACTTTTAACAATCATAGATAAATTTTGTCTGTTTTTGAAAGTTATACAGAATCAATAACCTTACTGTTTTTTGTTTTTGTTTTATGTTTTGGTTATTTCAGTGCAATGATTATGACATCATTGTTACAGGTAATAATAGTTCTACTTTGTTTTGTTTCCTTATTTGTGTGCGCATATACTTTATATTGAATTTGTATGCTATAGTTACATGCTCTGGGGAAGATTCTGATTCAGCAACCTATGAACCATCTTCACAATTATTGCTTGAGCACACTAATGCTCCCACTGTGTAAGTCCATCTCATTGGCAGTCTTCCTGCTTTTTGCTTACCTTCCACTTCTCCAAGGAGTGCTTCCTCCTGACATGGCCAAAGTACAAGAAAGGAAGTCTCACAATCCTTGTTTCTAAGGAGCATTTGGCTGCACTTCTTTCAAGACTGACTTGTTAGTTCTGACAACCCAAAGTATTATATTTCTCTCCAGCACCATAATTCACATGCATCACCTTCTTCTGTGGTTATCTTCATTCATTGTCCAACTTTCATATGCATATGAGGTAATTGGAAACATCATGGCTTGGATATGAATAAACATGTTGTTGCTGTTGTTAAGTGTTCTTGAGTATGTCCAACTCATTGCAAGCCTGATAGATTTGAATCACTGACCTTGAGGTACAAACTAACCTTATGCCCCAGTACTTATCCACCATACCAGGACTCCTGAATAAATATTTATTTTTCCATTATACTGTTGGTGAGCATTTGGCTATTCATTATTTATTCATTATCAACATTCAACTATGCAGTTATTTTTAAAATTTTTTTATTGTGAATTGAGTGAAGGTTTATAAACAAGATCATCAGTTTTACGTTCAACAAATCATATATTTTATTTCATCTCAATAATTTCAATTCCCTTCAAATAAAACAGTCATCCTACTTCCTCCCTATGGTTCCTATTTCCATTCCATCCACGCTCCCATCCCTTTTCGATTTTGTCCTTAGATAAATGTTGCCCTTTTATTTTGAATGATTGACCATCATGGTGAGCATTCTTTACTGGTGTTGTTGCTCCACACCCCCATGTATGTATCTATTTCTTGTTAAGTGCTGTCTAGTCGATTCCAAAACATAGCGACCCTGTATAGGGTTTCCATGGAGTGACTGGTGAGCTTGAACCACTGACCTTGCAGTTCAAACTTACTTTGCAGTTCAGAGCATTAACCCATAGCATCAAAACTGACTGAAAATCGGGCCACTAACGTGAGTTCCTTTCCAGACCTGAAGAGTGGTCAAGACCAGTTGTCTCAGGTTTCTCCATCTATTTCTCACCAGTAAGCCTGGTCTTTTTTTATGCTTGAATTTTGTTTTACATTTTCTCTCTCTCTGTCTGGGACCTTCTAACGTGATCCCTTTCAGATCACTTAAATGTGGTAGCTGGGCATCATCTAGTTCTTCTGGTTTCAGAGGCAAAATGTTCACACATTCTGTTAGTCCATTGGACTAACAGATTTCAAGGGTCTTCAATTTTCAACACTCCTGTTTCCTCCACACATGAAAGATCAGTAGTTGCATTTTAGATGGTCACTCATGAGCTTTGAAGACCCCAGACACTACTCACCAAAGTAAGATGTAGCATATTGTATTTGTGGACAATGTTCTGTCAACTGACCATGACGTTCCCTGAGATTATGGTCCTAAGTCCCAAGGCCTAGCAATTAATTGCCTTAAGATAGTTGATAAAATACAGGACATTTTCCTCACAGTATAGAGTCTTGGTGTGATACTGTAGGATAAGCACTCAACTGCTAACCAAAACACCTGCTGTTCAAACCCACCAGCCCTGTGTTTAGAACAGACTTTATGACACTTAACAATAACAACAAAATTATCCACCATATTCATAGATGTACTAGTAGGAAATGTAAACACCTATGTACCAATAGCCTTTCAAACTCATAATTTGTGGGTATACTCTAAATTTCTTCCCAGACTCTTTAAGCCTATATATTTGTCCATGTATCTACCTGCAAAACACCATTATTCCAAGGTTGTATATTTAACAAAAAGAGGAAGACCCCCAACGAGATGGATCAGCCAGGTGGCATCATTGATGGACTCAAGTGTGGCAGCGGTAGTGAGGTTGGCCCAGGATCGGACATTGTTTCGTTCTGCTGTGCATGGGGTCGCTATGAGTCGGTTCCGACTCGATGGCACCTGACAACAACAACAACAACAACAACTCTATCCCATTTATCCCTTGCATACCTGTCTTCATCATTCTTCTACTAACCTTCCTCTTCTTATATATTGCCCTCTGTATCACCCAAGTTAACATGTGTCTATCCTTTGGCCAGTGAATTATTTTACCTTCCCTCTCACCCCTGGTAACCATCAAATAATGTTTATTTTAACATGAAAACATTTTCTTGAAATTTCATAATAGTCATCTCATATAATATTTGTCCTTTTGTGACTGGACAATTTCACTCAGTACAATATCCTCCAGATTCATCCGCATTATGAGGTGTTTCACTGATTCATTGCTACTTTTCACAATTGCATAGTATTTTGTTTTGTGTGTGTACCAAAGTTTGTTTATCCATTCTTCCCTTGATAAGCATTTAGGCTGTCTTTTTGCTATTGTGATGAACATTAGTGTGCATATATCTACTTGTATCCTGGCTTTTATTTCTTGTGGATATATCCAAACAGAGGGATTGCTTTGTTGAATGGTATTTCTATTTCCAACTTTGAGGAATCACCACACAGTTTTCCAGAGTGATTGAGCCATTTTAGAGTCCCATAAACAATGTAGGAATATCCCAGTATCTCCACATCCTTACTCGCATTGTAATTCTGTTTTTTGAATTTTTCTTTGGGAGTCCTGGTGTGGCACTGTAGGGTAAGCATGGTCATTTTGAACCCAAGAGTTGGTGGTTCAGAGTCATCAGCTGTTCTTTTACAGGGTTGCTATGAGTCAGAATCTACTCCACTGTACTTAACAATAATTAATGTTCTTGAGAAATGAATATCTCATTATTTTAATTTGCATCTAATAACTAATGATGGCAAACATTTCTTCTTATGTTTTTTAACTGCCTGAATGTCTTCCTTTAAAAAGAGTTTATTCATGTCCTCTACCCATTTGTCATTTTTGGGTTGTTTGTCTTTTTCTTGTAGAGGTATATAGTGTTATATAAATTTTAGAGATTATTCCCTTGTCTGACAAGACATTGCAAAAATGTTTTTCCAAGTGTGTGGCCTCTTCTTTTACTCTTTTGGCAAAATCATTTGATGCACAAAAGCATGTACTTTTCAGGAGACTCCAATCATCTCTTTTGCCTACTACTGTTTGTGTGACTTTAATTATGTTTGACAATTTATGCCATGTATTGTTGTTGTTAAGAGCCATTGAGTTGGTTTTGACTCATAGTGAGACTGCATAGGATTTCTGAGGAGTGCCTGGTGAGCTTGAATGCCTGACCTTGTAGTTCAAACCTGCCTTGCAGTCCAACACATTAACCCACAGGCCCATACCAAGATTCCTAGAGTTCCTAAATTTTTCCCTATTTTTTAATTGATAATCGTTATAGTTGTACGTTTTACATTTTGGTCTTTAATCCATATTGTTTGTTTTGGTATATGGTGTGAGATATAGATCATGGTTCTTTCTTTTGCAAATGGATTTCCAATTTTACCAGCAACATTTTTTTAATAGATTATCACTTGCCCATTTAATGTATTTGGCACTTTGTCAACGATCAGTTGGCTGTATATGGGTAAATTTACTTCTGGGTTCTCAACTCTGTTTTACTGATCTGCATATCAGTCATTCTACCAGTACCATCCTGTTTTGACCAGAGTGGCTGCATCATAGATTTTGAGAGCAGGGAGTGAGAGGCTTCCAACTTTATTCTTCTTAAGTAATGCTTTACTCATACAAGGTCCCTTTTCTTGCCATATATTTGTTGTTGTTGTTAGGTGCCAATGAGTCAGTACTGACACATAGCAACCCTATGCACAGCAGAATGAAACACTGCCTGATCCTGGCCAACCTCATTACTGTTGCCATGCTTGAGTCCATCATTGCTGCCACTTGGCCAATCCATCTCGTTGGGGATCTTCCTCTTTTTCTCTGACCCTCCACCTTACCAAAAATGCTATCCTTCTCCAGTGACTGGTCCCTCCTGACAATATGTCTGATGCATGAGAGACGAAGTTTAGCCATCTT